AGTCTCGACACAACGCATTCTTACCTCCAAGCTGTTTAGGATCGGTGGAGAGCTGAGGCGGGTAGTGCAGCAACCTCAGGTTTCCCGATGGGTTGATGAAGAACTCGTCGAAAACATCGGGTGAACAGTTCCATTCTTTGGGGAGACCCAAGGCGAGGATCCTAAGAACCTTTTCGGCCAGTTTGACCATCTTATTGCGGTACTCCATAAGAGGCTTCTCGAAATCCTCGGATTTCAGAGACTCGGGCCACTGATTTGGGCCAGTCAAGAAAGTGCCAGCATCAGGGTGATCCTTTGGAATCTCTGCACCGATAACGAAGCCCTACAAGAGTTTAGTTGAACGGTTAAGAGTAACAGCCTAGGTGACCCTCACCTCTTTCATATCAGGCAGAGTGCCTGGCTCTGAAGTCTGACCTCTGTACATTTCGTAGCCGCGGTTCGAGATTCCCAGGCAATTTTCAATGAAAACTGCCTTCTTCTCTTCAGCAGATAGATCAAAGAACTTCTTGGCACATTCCAGGGTGGTATCTTGGTCTTTGAGGGGAATGCCATGACCAACGATGCTGAAGAAGCCATAGGTTCTGGCGGCGTCGCAGACTTCTTTGACGACTTGTTCTTTGGCTTCTGGAGTGGTGTCTTCAGCGAAGTATGGCGCTAGATTAACAAGTGGAATCTTGGCTTCAGCTGCCATTTTCAAAGACGATTTAGCGGATTTAGGCGATGGGAATGACGCTGTGGCAATGATGAAGAATGAGTTTAGTGTATTGATGTGCTTATCGTATTTGACAAGAACTAGTGCACCATTTACAAGCTTAAGAGTCTTTATGTTACTACTCGACGGGTGCCAAGGGAGATGCAGCTGATAACACAAATCGCCGGAGTACTATACCGATAGAAACTCCGTATCATGTGCTACAAAACTGAGATCAGGACACCATTTCCGTGCGAATGAATGCGCGGAGTTCTTTTTGAAACAACTGTTTCAATACGTGTTCAATAAGGTTTGGCTTCTATCCATAATCGCAAGATTCTGTGCTTGGCTTGCGGGCCCACTATTACTCCCTCGGAGTATCAATTGTCAAGCGCCGAACATTGAACAATGAGATTATTGTATCGCTATGACTGATTATGGTCTTTGCAGCTCGAGTTTGAAGTAACAAAGCTACAGAGTAATTGCCAGACCACTCCTTTAATCTTCGATTCGTGTATTACTACAACCACCACGTACGCCAATACCCCTGTCGAGATTTTATATCAGCCCGAACTGTCGCAGAATGCATGTTTTGCTTACCGGTGGAAATGGGTTTTTAGCGGCTCATATTCTCAACCATCTCCTTGAACGCGGGTAAACTCCTTTGTTCCATCATATCTCACAAAGCCATGCTGACAGCGGTCGGTTTAGCCATTCCGTAGTTACAACCGTTCGCAGCCAAGAAAGAGTGAACCGCATCAAGGCTCTTCACCCAGCCCTACGAAAAGACAAGCTCGATTTCTTCATTGTGCCCGATGTTGCAAAACATGGAAGTTTTGACTCTGTGTTCCGAGGCGACCATGTCTTCGACGCCGTCATTCACACAGCTAGTCCCAACGTGCGGAGCTGCAACGACGTCCAAAAAGAACTATTGGATCCTTCCATCATTGGAACCACTGGTCTTCTCTCCTCCATAATTCGGTTAGCGCCTTCTGTCAAGCGCGTAGTTTATGTTTCGTCCATGGCTGCCTTAATCGATGCTTCAAAGGGCGATTGGCCTGAGCACACGTACACAGTCGCGGATTGGAATCCAATCACACTTGAAGAGGCACTCGATAACTCGAGCTGGATTCCTGGATACCGTGCCAGCAAAACTTTTGCTGAACGTGCTGCTTGGGAGTTTATGGATCGAGAAAATCCTCCCTTCACATTAACTACCCTTACTCCTCCTGGTATCTTTGGGCCAATGGTCAGGTATCCGGGCTACCCGCCAGAGCCACTGAATGCTTCCAACGAGATCTTTAGTAAACTTCTTGATGGTAAGGTTTTTCCTACTGGGCTTTACACATGGATCAACGTTACGGACGCAGCTCTTGCACATGTCAAGGCAATAGAGGAGGAAAACTTTACTAGCGAACGCATCTTCCTTACATCTTCAGAGCAGCTTTGCATCAAGGAAGTAATAGAGATCATCTATGAAGAGTTTCCAGAACTCCGCGAAAGGCTGCCGGCGAAAGATACATGGCATATCGCTGGATATCCTGAGGGCGGCGTGTACAAGGTAGATGCGGCGAGGGCAAAGGCGCTCATTGGACGAGAGTTTCTTCCCTTGAAGGGGACTGTCATCGAAACAGTGAAGACCTACAAGGATTATCTCTATTCCTGAAAACGGTCACTCTTTCACGTAGAAAATAAGCGCGACAAACTATGTTGACAAGTCCATCATTTCACCCAATTGGACAGCTGGTGACCATATCGGCGGGTACTACCGGAACGGTGCATCTTGGAAGTCCGATAAGTGGTTAGATTACTCCGGACCAATGGCTTAGCCTGATTATGTAGACGAAATTGGTAAGTCTTGCGCCAGTTGCGACTACCGCTCCTTTCGGGCCGACTATCGAATGCGTACTATTTTGCGACATTCTGCTCAAAAAGTACATATGTGTAAATGAACCCCATATGCTCATCGTCAGCCACTCTGCTTCATTCCTACCTTTAATTACCCTTGCCATTATTCAATTGTTGCATTAATTGAATTCTCCTGCTGAGCTACCTGTCAGGTCAAGCCTCGCAACTAAACACGCCCAAATAATTGGCACATCCAACACATCTCTCATCCTACACAGCTTGCTGTGTTATACGATCATAAAATCTTGTTTACAATCAACAAAGTCTGTCCAGAACCACCTCTCCGTCCGTGGTTCCTAGATTTCTGGACTCCGAAAATGGCACCTACCAACAGGGCCGCTTGGCTTGCAGGCAAACAAGTGTTTCCTTTGCATGTTGGCGAAGCACCCTACACACCACCCGGGCCGAATGAGGTGGTCGTCAAATCGGCAGCTATCGCTATCAACCCTGTTGAGGCCATGAAGCAAGCCATGGGCGACAACATGATGCCCTGGATTAAATATCCCTTTATTCTCGGCCACGACGTAGCAGGCGAGGTCGTCGAGGTTGGGTCCAAAGTCACACGCTTCCACCCCGGCGATCGTGTACTCGGTGACGCCGTGAGCATCGACCAACGAAGCAACCGTTCCTGCGAAGGCGCATTTCAAGAATACGTCGTGCTACGCGAAAACCTCGTTTCCCCAATACCAGATAGTCTTGATTATGAACACGCATGTGTGCTCCCGCTCGCCATCTCGACGGCTGCATGCGCATTGTACATGAAAACCTACCTGGCGCTGGATTTGCCTTCACTCAAGTCTGAAAAGAAAGGCAAAACCGTTCTGATATGGGGCGGCTCAACCAGTGTTGGCGCCAACGCTATTCAGCTTGCTACTGCTTCTGGATACGAGGTCATCACCACTGCATCGCCCAAGAACTTCAACTTCGTCAAGAGCCTGGGTGCCACCCACGTTTTCGACTACCACAGTAAGACAGCTGTTCAAGACATCATTGGCGTACTCAAGGGATCGGAATTGGCTGGTAGCGTTGCTATCGGTGATGGATCCATGGAAGCTTGCATCAAGATTGTGGCTGCCTCATCTGGAGTCAAGTTCATCGCACAAGCATCTCTTCCTATGCCAAGTCAGATCCCTCCCACGGGGATGAACATGGTGTCTTTTATCGCGCGTTTCCTTTGGTTCAAGGTTTCGACCCTGGTAAACTGCAAAGTCAAGGGCATTGGCTACAAATTTATTTGGGGAGACGATGTCATGGAGAATGAGGTAGGAAAGGCCATATACGAGCATTTCCTACCTGGAGCATTAGCAGCAGGAAAATACAAGTGTGCTCCTGAACCCTTGGTTGTTGGCAAGGGGCTGGATAAGATCCAGGAAGCGTTGGAGCGCATCAAGAAAGGTGTTTCGGCTCAGAAGTTGATTGTGGTGCTTTAGGACGACTTCTCACATACTATGTTCATGTATTGCATCTAGCGTCTTTACTTTCCATGTGCTTCAGTGTATTCCATTTTGACGACTGAAAATCAAATGCCTGTGAAAACTCCAGATGAGAGACACGTACAGGTATAAAAAGCTATCAACCGTTGATCAAAAAAGCAGGATCATAAATTGTTGTCTAGACGTCTGCATGAGAGCCACCTACATGGAGCTCATTGACACTTCAATATGATACTGATGTGGAATTGAACTACGAATCTTTTTGATAAAAGCTTTGAGGAACTGGCGCCTGCTGGCTTTACAGGGCAAGTTTCGAGTACTTCAACTCATCTTAGCTACATAAACATGGCCGTTCAATATAGGCAGCTGCTTCAAGTAGCATATGCAATTTTGTGTTGTGACACTTAGTGTATGTGAAAAGTACTTGCATACTCATGCAAAATGCCGTGGGATGCATGGATGTCTGCAACATTACAGTGATTACACATCACTGACTAAAAAGGAGTATCTAACTATCGGAAGCATCAACTTGTTTAGGTACGACCCTAGTGAAACATTGAATCTACAAGTCAATTAGTGCAAAGTTGCCCGGGGCTTGGCACCATGCCTCACTCCGTTGCGAGTAGAGTTGATTGTCCGTCAGAAGTCGACTGGATTGTGCATGTGCAAATCATTCCGAATGGTCATCAAGAATGATGCGAGTTTGCACACGTCCCCAGTATCCACATCAGCTTTTTGCGCTGCAGGTCGCAGATTATATTCGGGATGCTCCGTTGAGTAGAAACCACGAGCCTCCGAATAACTCCGGCCGAGTTGAGAAACTCCGTGTCCACCGCTCCACCGATTGGATGTAAGATATATATATTCACCGAGCAAGCAGATGTAAGACGGTATCCAACCCACGCTTACATCTTCTATTCCCGATTACCAACCAGACGACATCTCGAACCGCCTGATCTCTGCCCACCATGTCCAACACTAGCACTCACGGATACGGATACGACTTTCCCGAGACTCCCCCAAACCCCACCACTGGCAGGATTGCGGTAGCGCCTGTCCACCATGAACCCCCGCCACCAGCCACGGTGCAGCAACTCTCCCGTTTCGGTCCCCGCTGGAACATTCGGGATGTGTGCCAGCAGATCGCTCAATACACGCTAGAAATGGGTATTGTCGAAGGCACAACGGACGAGTGGCAGCGGACTCAGGACCCCGAGGCCGATTTCACCTTCCACTGCGCCCTTGACATCATGGCTGCATCACTTTTCCGCGCAAAGCAACTCGTCCTCCGCCATCGCCGCGGTTTCAGTGAGGCCGAGTCGATCCTGATCGGAAAGGAAATCAAGAATGTCGACTGGGGCATGACGCACTTGCTCTACAGCTTCGTCGCCATCAGGCACTTGGAAACGCCCACCATGGCCTGGAACGTCGGCACCGGCATCGAGAGGCACTGGTTCCTCTTCAAGACCTTCCAAGCTGCTCTCGAGGGCAAGCTCGTCGGCGAGGGCAAGGAGGAGGCCGACAAGTACTTTGCCAAGACGAACAAGTACTTTGAGGAGGTTATTATTCTGTTCAAGGGACCGCCAGGCAGCAAGAGGCCCGAGGAGGATCCTACACTTGGAAGCTTTGCTGAGATCAACGAGCCTCTTCCTGCTGGCTCTGCTGCCGCCCAGCCTGCGGAGGCCGAGAAGGTTGCAAGCTAGAGATGGAGAAACATGTAGTCTGTCAAACGTTCACATTGTATTTAGTCAACTATCCTTAGTCTATCTATACATTCTTGTGCAATGACGTTTACTGGGCTCAGGGCTTGTAGCACAGTTTGCAGCGTTAGGCGCATTTCGAAGGTTGGATCGAGGTGATGGTTGGAAATGAGGAAGTCTCCACAGAAGTGGAGAAGAACTGGAGTAAATGGATGGATCTTGGGTTTTTAGTTAGCAATGAAATTGACAAACTTGAGACGAATTGCAGTTGTCTTTTACCTTGAAGTAACTGAGTTCGACTAAAGCCTTCGACATCATGATCATTTGGTGTGCGGCCGCCATGGCTCGCTTTTCGCATTCGGCAATGACATCACTGCCTTCAGCTGTGCCCCATGGGGCAATCTGACTAGATTTGAACAACATGAGGCTTGATGCCTGGGCGGCCAGCACTGTAAAATACGCCATTGGATCTTGGAAGATCAACGCGTATGGGTCGTTGAGAGCCATGCCTTGAATGGCTTGTTCCAGTCTTGCATCCAGTTGTTGTTGCCTATCCCAGAAGCCAAGTGAGATCAAGCCTTGCGCATGCTCGACAACGCCTTGCTGCTGATGCGACAACAACTGTCCGCATATTGCGACGAGTTGAATTGAATCTGTGAAGGTGCATGGTATTCTGGATTCGGATACCAGCAGCGGGCTGGGTAGGAAATCCATGACGGTGGGCTCGTCGGACTGGAATTCCTTTTCGGGGCAGGGCAGCCGGGTGAGAATCTTTGGTTCAGGTTAGGACAAGGGTTCGCTTGCGTAAGGACGGGAGATCGACTTACAGTGTGCTGATCAAACGTGACCGGTACTAGCCGGTCCAATAAGCTTATGATTCGATCAATGGTATAAGCCATCCAGAACGTTCTCCTTCGCTCTTCGATTTCGACAAAGGTGAGGTTTTGGAGTAATAACGATGCGACACCATCACGTCCGTCGATGTTGTGGAGCTTCATGAGCATAGCGAAGCGGAAGCACTTGCCTGCACTCATCCATGCTTTTCTGTAGCCTACGCGCATGAATTCATAGATGGTAAGCAAAGCCCGCGCCTGCACCTGCTCTAATCGCATGCACTCGGCGTTGAGATATCGCTGCTCAAGGTTCTCAACCATACGGTGTGTGTGTGCGTACAAATCGTCTTGGATGTGTTGGAACTGACTCGAAGTGGAGACTGCGAGGTTCCACATGGCATGTTGCAGACAGTAAAAGGCCTCATCCTCCTGCTCATAATGCGATCTTCGGGCTCGCTCAAAGTAGTGTCGCTTGTTGAGAATGGGGAAGAAACTGTGAACGCGATCGAAATAGAGATGGCTTCTGCAATGTGCATTCTGATTAGCGAAAGCTGGCGGGAATTTGGCTGGGGAAGCGATCAAAACGTACAAGTCTGAGCGCATGGGCTCGGAGATAAAGTCGACTGGTGACAGTCTTGTGATTGGAAGTGGCATGGCCGAGTTCAGCTGGGAAAAAAGGGAATCGACTTCAAAGTTGTGTGACAAGTCACTGCTCGAAGCTTCTTTTTCGAAGAAGTCGCGAGCATCTTGGGGGACAAGGTCCGAGAATGGTTGTTGGCCCGGGGTAGCAAAAGTGTCCAGGTCATCGGGAAGACGAATGAAATCGTCGTCGGTGGTATCCTCGGACGTTCTATCACTGCTCAAGCGACGCTCAAGGGCAACTATTGGAAGCATGTTAGCGTGATGACGCATGTGGAGGCGTGACCCAAAAATTACCTATTCGAGACTGGAGGGCGCGAAGATGTCCTCTTTTTGGACCACGAGGCTGACGCGTGGTGGTAGTTACACAGGTAGTGGCCGAATCGCGACAAACGCCACATTGTGGCTGAACTCTATCGCATCGAAGCTTTCGTCTGCGGCACTCATCGCAGGCCAAACCAGGCAGTTGACGTGACCGTTGGGTGGTTGTTGTTGGTGTTGAAGCCATTGTAGAGGGGTATCGTTTTTGTTTGTTTGCTTGTTACTAACCAAAATACAAATGCAAAGAGAGTGTAGCACTTTGTTGCTTGAATCGCGTGGTGTGTGTGTGTGTGTGTTTTATATACGGCTATGGAGCGTATGTAAGTAGGCAACGTGGGCAACCACCTGGCCAGATGGGCAGAAGGGTCATCAAATACAAGCTCTTGTTTAAGCTTTCATCGACTAGTGGGATGCGAATCCATGGTGGCACTCAACAATATAGTGCAAGTTGGACGTCAAGGAGGCCAAGATGACTACTATAGTGTGTCCAAGACGTTTAGCTAATAGCTAAGAAACCAGGGAGGATGGCAGGATGGGACGGCAGTTAGTGGCAGGCAACGAAATACGTCTCTTACGACGTTTGCAATGGATTTCGGTCCTGTTTTTTTGCTAATGTACAGGGTTATTTTTCGGCTTATTTGCTCCGCTAGCCGCCGTTAGTGTACTCTTTTAGAAGAGATTGCGAGACGGGGCGAAAATACAGCCGTAGACTAGAGAGCCAACGCAAGTGGAGCACTAGCGATGCTAAGTATGAAGGGTGCTTGGCACGTCTGGTAGCAGGCTGGGTTGGGGACGGCTACAGTATTTGAAGGAAGATGCCGTGCAGAGAGGTACATGTGCATATGGACATGGTGGCCATTGGACGCCATGTGACGAAAAGGGCACCGCAGGCCTGGCTTCGGTGCTTCCGGAAAAACGGGACAGAATATAGCAAAGAGGGATATGCAAGCCAGGGCGGCTGTCCATTGGCCGTGGGCCACGGCTATCTGTAGGTTAGGCTGGGGTTGCAAGCAGCTATCCAAGCAGTGTAGGTGCATGCTTGTGTACTGGCCCCTGTACCGCTGTACGTGTTTCATGAATCGAGGGAAAGCCGAGAGAGGGAGAAAGAAGGGCTAGCAATGCGATGGATGGGCCCGACGTCTGGAACGCTCGGCAAAGAGGGCCAGGTAGTGTTGAGGGGTGTGGTGCTGCCAATGCGCCGCGCGGCCGTGTGATTGGAGAGGGGAGGCAGGACGGCTCTCGGGTGTCAGCATGGCGGAATGGCGGAATGGAGGACTGGCATGGCAATCGCCCGTTGGAGAAAGGGACGAAGAAGGATGCGGTACGTACCGTTGTACACAGTAGCACTACATGTACATAGAGGAGGACATGGAGCCAGCATGACAGGAGTCGGACAGTCGGACCTCAGTCTCCACCCGCCGGCCGGACTATCCCATCGGCCCGCGGCAGAACATGAAGCGACTACCCACTGGTGCATTTTCTAATACGGGGCGATCGACGTTGTGCTGGGCCGGATTGACGCTCGACGTACGGAGGTATCAAGGGTAAGTAATAGCACTGGTCAGAGCTCTGCAAGGGGGTGAGCTCGGGATTTAGTAATCAGCTAGGCCTAATATG